CGCATGCACACAATGCATAAAGCTGCTGTCAGACCGCTTATCTAAGACCGCTTTTCTGTCCCGTTTCAAGTAACAATTTTTGTTTTATTTTGTGCTGCAAAGCAAACATGAAAGAAGTGCAGAATTTTATAAATGCTTTTAAGGCCCGGATTTCGTAGACTGCTTTATCTAAACTTATCAACAACACAGCGATGTTTGCAGCGTTTCATAAACCGTTAAGAGTGTTGTGACAAGCTGTTATCGCACTAACATTTTTCTTCAAAGGTCTATGAAAGCTGCTTTTCCTTTATGTAGCTAGTCATTCATAAAACACATGTTTATAGATTTTCAGGATGAACAGTAAATCGCGCATTGAGACGACTGTAACTAGGGGATACTGTTTCAAACCAGAGTTACTTGAGGCTTATAAAATATATATAGAACCAGTAGCGAAGCATTACATATGCCGAGTCCCTGTTTTCTATCATCGGTGGAGAAGGGCGAACTGACATTCCGCGCCAGACCAAATTCTAGATAAGTTAGTACAACGTGTATTAGCAACATTATTTTTTAAATGAAATTTTTACGAAAAAAGAAAACAATAAAATTACATACGAGGTTTTTTGATAAAGTTTTCAAGATATTTGAATTTTTATGGAAAAAAAAATATATTTAAAAAATTTTTAGTCACCTAGTCTTATTAAACGCGAAAATTATTATTATTGACGTTCATCCTAGTAATTCCGAACAAATCGTTATGATAAAGCTGAACCAATTTGTAACCAAATCAAAGCTTACTTAGAGCCCAAAAATTTTATAAAATACAGAGTTTCCCATTTGAATAATATAAAAAAGGTGACAATTTGCAGTTAGTGCAAAATCTCGAGCCGCCATCTTCAAAGATGGTGGAGATAACAAATTTTATAGAAAAACACAATTTTTTTTGAACATTTTTATGTATGATACCATTTATTTGCTTTTTAAGAAAAAATCTTCAAAAATATATGAGGCGTTAAATTTAAAAAAGCGAAATACCCTGTATATTGAAAATAGTTATGAATTGTAGCTCCAAATGAACACTCTTAGATTACAACAACCAGTTTTGTCAACATCAAAATAAAATATTATCAATGTTAACAAATTTGATATCGAAAGAAAGGTTACGTAGGGATCAGTTCGACAATTTTATAAAATACCTATAGGTGTCCAATTTGAATCATATCAGAAAAACGACATTTGCATTTTAAATCGTCCTATATAATTGAGTTAAAACCCTTTTTTACTTCCCGAGCGTAAGCTAAGTAATCGAGTCCATCGGACGAATTGCCACTTTTATGTTTTGTCGACGTTTCATGACCCCTACAGTACGAAAAAAGTAGTATACCGTTTCCGTCTGTTTGTCTGTCTGCGTCCATTTTTATTAGACACGTAATCTCCGAAATTGCTGGACCGATTGTTGTCAAATTTTGTATGTATGTTAGAAATATCATGTAGATGGTTAAAGGCTCGCCAAAATTTGGCTAATCATCCCCACCAACAATTTGATGACGTCATCTCAATGAACCGTATTTGAAAATACTCCCACATACTTGTAGTATACGAATTCGCTTTCAGTTTTTTCGCTTAACGTTCAAATCTTCGCAAAAACAATTGCACGGTTTAATAACGTTATCTTTGTTTTTTTTAACATATAGAGTTTTCTTTCAACAACAGGAAAGATAAACATGTTTTCAGTTTCTTTTTGGGAAAAGAAGACTTCGTATATTAAGAAAAAATGGACAAAATATTAGCCCCGCCCACCCACCCGTTCTCAATTGTGATGAATGCTTTATTCATCGTGAGCTGAAGGGCGGAGTTTATTTGCGAAATCGTCATTTCTCTACAAGAAATTATCATATGAAATATGTTTTTAAACAGGTAGGAATTAAAAACTCATCATAATTGAGATCGGGGTGGGTGGGTGGGGCTTAATTTTTTGTTGTTTTTTAATATACAGAGTTTTCTTTCAACAATTTTTTGGCGCAAAGAACAAGAGATATAATAATAAAAAAACATAAAATCAATCTCTTATTCAATAATTTTGGACTGTACTCCTAATGTAACTCACGTAGAATAACTTGTTTTTTTTTAAACTGAAGAAATAAAAAACTGAAAAATGTAAAAATTTAATGAGTTACATACATATAGAGAAAGAAGAAGAAAGAAAAAAAGAAAACTTGAAAAATTGCAAACCGAAAAGTTGAAAATATTGAAATTGAAAACACAAAAACTGATAAAATCGAGACATTGAAAAATTATAAAAATAAAGAAAATAAAAAAACTGAAACAAAAAATTGCACATGGAAAAATTAAAAATTTAAAACTTGAGAAACTCAAATCGAAAAATTGCAAAATCTAGAAATTGCATTGAATAGTTAAAAAATTGAAAAATTTAACCTTGAAAATGCAAATCGAAAAAATGAAGGAACAAAAAAAATAAAATATTGAAGAAAAAATTCAAGTCAAATAAGCTGCGGAAGCGTTATTTACGTCACTGCTTTTACTTTATAGAGGTTATCAGAAAACAAAAATCGCAAAAAAAAAGATAATTTTTCTGAGAAGTGGGATTAATTTGGCTGCACTTCAGCGGCGAGAGAAGTTCTGTTGAAATAAGATTCGACCAATTTTTTAGTTTTAGTAAATTTTATGTAAAACCACAGACGTCCATCTTTAAATATGGCGTAACTAAAAATTTTTAAATCTGGAAATTATTTACAAAAAAAGATAAATATGTTGAAAAGTGGTGATCAAAGAACGACTGTGAGAAATCAGCATGAGATAAAGGAACTAAAAAATTGTGTCCAAAATTCCGGACTGTCATCTTTAAAGATGGTGGAGAAGGCATGTTTACAGAAAAATACAACTCTTTTGATAAACTTTGTGGCTGATATAATTTATTTTCTTTTTAATAAAGAATGTACATCTTCGAAAATATATAAGGCGCAACGTTGAAAAAAATAGGACTTCAGCCCTATCAGATTACATCAACGAATTTTTCAAGAATTTCAGATAAATCTTATGATCAATCTCAAACTACTTGCTAACTTTATGAAATACCTACAGGATGTCCCATTTGAATTATATCACAAAAACTACATTTGCATATTTAATCGTCCTGTATTATTGAGTTAAAAGCCTTGAAATTTTTATAAATTTGTCAACGCAAAGGGCCGGAATGTTTTATACAAAACCATAGACGTCCATCTTTAAATATGGCGTAATTGAGAATCTTTAAATGTGGCAGTTATTTACAAAAAAGGCAAATACGTTGAAAACTGCTGATCAAAGAACGACTGTGTGAAATCAACATCAGATAAGGGATGAACTAAAAAAGTGCAAAACCCCTTTAAAGATGGTTGAGATAAGAATAATTACAGAAAAATACAGTTCTTTTAAAATACAAGGCGTCACGTTTAAAAAAGTATGGCATCAGTAGGTAACTCTCAAATGAAATGCCCTGTATATCTGAAAACAGTTATAAATGATATTTCCAAATAAGCACCCTGAGATTATATCAACGAATTACTTTCAATAATTCCAAATAAAATATTAGGAGTATTATCAATTTCAACAAACTTGAAGAGTTCAGAAAAGTTTCGCCTCTGGTATGGTTGACATACTGAGTTACCGTGCTCTTCTGCCTCATTCTTAACCTTGCTCCTGAAGATGTCACTTACGAAAGTGTGCGAAACGTTGAGCCGAAAAACTCAATTAACACGGTTCCAACCCGGAAAACGATCATGTATTGATTCCGACCGTGCACCCTCCCAAATTATTTGATGCCAAAAGACAGGTTACGTAGAGATCGGTTCGAAAACTTTATAAACTCTCTACAAAGTGTCCATTTTAATCATATCAGAAAAATCACATTTGAATATTTAATCGTCCGGTATAGTTGACTTTAAAACACTTCCAATTTTTATAAATTTGTCAAGATGACTAAAATAGTTTATGCAAAACCAGAGTCGTCCATTTTTAAATATGATGTAACTGCGAATTTTTAAATATGGCAATCTTCTACTTCAGGCATTCTAAGATCATCAGTTCCTTACATAATTGGTATGGGAATCAGGTCGCTTCGCACGTAGGCTGGTATAGCGCATCGCCCGCCGCGGCGACGTAGCTAGGGATAGCACGTCGTCCGTCACAGCGACGAGAGATAGAGCGTGGATCGTCACAGCGAATCTAACCAATTTCAGACTTTTTAATAGGGTTCATTGTATTTCGTCGGAGGTTTTTAAGTATGCACACATGTTTCATGAAACACCCAGTATGTGTGTCCTGAGTGACTATTATAGTGAATCAAAGATTTCATGGAGAAGGTGCAATGTGCCGCCCGTAGACCGTTGGAACACCTGTACAGCAAACCTTCAGCAATTTGGTTTTATGAAACAATAAAACCGGGAATATGGTTCTGAAATTCATTTTCTAAATTGGGAAACTTCAAATACTCCTTAAAGCACACAGCTTTGTGACAAATTTGTACAAATATAGTACATAGGAGCAAAACAATCCCATATGGCATCTACTCTTTTACCTCTCGCAGCACAAAACACTTATAATTCACTTATACAACCCTGAAAAGCGTCTATAAAAAACTAGCTATATTTGAAACCGTTCGTCGAGCCACCGTCACCCACTCAAAATCGCCAAAAGGCGTTAATTAACCACTCCTCTCCCATTTCTTTCCAACCCACACCCACGACAAAGATCGCAATCCCCCTTTAGTATTTATTTATGTAGGTGAAATAAATTCCGTCGCAGCATAATCCGCTTAAAGTAAACGCAGCACAGTGTGCCGAGAACTAGGTCCGCTGTTTGAGTTAGCGCGTCGTCAAAAATCAAAGCACAAATCCGAAGTTCGCTAATTAGTTGCAACAACTATTCGCATCCACTAATTTAGCTCTAATTAGCTGATATTGGAAGCGCTTAGATGTTTAATCTGCACATCAAAACAGCGCGGTTTCAAATATACTACTCACAGGTTGTAGTGTACGTCGGCCATGTTGGGCCTGAACTGCAGGGCCCTCCTGAAGGCCCACTCGGCTTCGGCTGCTCGTCCCTGGCTGCTCAGCACGCTCCCCAAGTTCCCGTACGCTGCAACACAAACCCACATCTCAAAGTTTGCAATTTCACACTGCACTATTGAAAGCGTGCATGATATATCTCGAAGTCATGTTTCAAGAAAGTCAAACAAACTCGAAGCAGTAAATAGATTAATGTTGCACGCGATGTTAAAATGCAGAAGAGATACCCACTTCAGAAATGAGTAATTGGATTAGCTCCTGCCAGCGTCGCGGCGGGGCGGCACGGACGCATGGATGCAGAAGTTTGCATACGTTACGAACTTCTGGCGAAACTGGAGCGGAAATTTTTAATCGAAATCGGTAAAAACAACGTAATTCGTCGAATTCACGGTTAGACTTGTTAATTAAGCAAAAATTGACTCAGTTAAGCGGTAAATGGACAGTAAACAAACAGCTGATGGCATGGCTGATGCATTGCCTGTGCATAAGCATAAACGCGATTCCGGGCCTGAATTTTGTTTGCGTCGAATTACGCGAGAATGGATTTACGGGGGCGTAAATCACCCGGTTTACCTCCGTGGGCAAAATACGCCACTATTTTAAACCCAACAATGGCAAGCTTCACTTATACTAAAAAAAAAAAAAAATATACATATTTCAAGAAACTTTTCTGCTTCTAAAGTGTCATAATTTTAGTAAACTGCTTCGAAAACATTTTGTTTAAAAACTGTTTTAATTAAAGAAACAAATCCAGTCTAATAAACTTGAAGCAAATATACAACGTTTTTTGTCAGTTTAAATCTCTAGACACCGAAAAGTAGTTGTGGTATTTATGGTAGAATAATTGTAGCCGCGGTCGTTAATGCAAAGGTCAGGAAACGTCATTCATCAATCAGTTCAAAAACACTGACGCTGAAATATGGACTACATTTTCGCCATTTCAATTTACACTTGAGCGACATCATAACAGAACAATCCGCTGACATTTCAAATTTAAAGTTGGTTTGTAATTCGTATTAGCTGCTTGTATAAAATATTATATGATGAGGTGAACTGAGGCTAAGATATTTCATGGAAAAGAATAAAAGTCCAAGGATCCGCTTACTAGTAACGCTTTAATATTCCACCAGTTATGAATTTATAAAGCGCTCGAGACACTGCCGTTTCCCTGAATAACTTGTCCATTGCGATAAATAATAAATTCGGTATACTTTACACATTGCTTGAACTAACAACTAGTCATTTTCATAATCAATTTAATATCTTCGAAAACTAGATTGGATTTTTAGTGCGCGAGGAATAATTTAAAATCGCGTTAAATTTGATACCGTGATTAAGAAATCTTGAGCTACAGTAATTACGCGTATAACCTTGGCACTTGACATTTAATTAAAAATACGTAAAATAGTACCCAATATAAATTACACAAATTAACATATCCTTTGCTTTGTACTTGATAAATTCGCCGTACCTATTTTAAACTGGTGTCAGCGGTGGTTTTTATTCGGGTGACCACTTGTTGATTTAGTTGATAACTTGAGACAACAGAAATCCGTATGTAACTAGAAATCAAGTAATTAAAGGAAAATAAAGCTGCCAATTTCACCTGCAAAAATTGTATAGCACTCTTTCATTGTCACTGTAACTAAATGTAAATGGTTATACAGGAGAGCATTTTCTGATAGTTAAACTTAAATCAAATTAACGTTTTGCAATGCTAATAGTACGAAAGTTAGAACATTTGCGTCCACTTAACGGTGATACTGAAACGTTACGGCGCATTTGAATAGCCAGCACAGCGCAATTCAAGAATTCTCAATTAATGTAAATAAAAACTAACTCATTCTCTCAGATAAAGTATAAAATTTGGTTCTTCATAAGATTATTAGTTATATTTGATAAAATGTTGAGATGACGTATCTAATAAATTCCCCAAGAAACAGACGAAAATGGGAGACCTATTTTTCGTGCTCTAGAAGTTATGAAATATCAAGATTGAATAAACCCCATTATGTTTGGGAAGTAGAAAACTCACAAAACACTTAAATAAAAAAAAATACTATGTTCTATTAAATACCCGAACGATGAAAAGAAACTTCAAGGAGGAGTTAAAGGTATTTCGTGTTTTGAAAAGCCTATCATTAGTGCATTATTTAGATATAAATTACTATTTTGATAACGACCTGAAATAATAAAGCGCTTTTCACTTTGAAAATCATTCATTCTAAAAATACTGTAATTAAATTCGATTTTATTTTATAACTTCAAAGCGCGTTATAGACACCTCTTATTGTATCTATCCACTGCTATTTTTAGTTTATAGATAGCTTCCATTCATATTTAACGATAAGAAACATACTGCTATTCACTTACGTAGGCAGCTCAAACAGAATAGAATTGAAAGGGATAATAACACCAAAGAAAAAATAATTCCAACGAGCACATTTTCCTCAGATTCAAATTAAATCAAAAAGACAGCTATTACAGGTCTTGTTGGCTTAACAGTTTAAAGGTGGTTATGAAAACACGGCGTTTCAGTTAAGACCGGTTTTGGAAGATTTTCAAGACGGCCTCCACGATGTCTTACAAAAATAATGGGTTGTTAAATAATGACATATTTTTGAACAAAAACAACAATTACAACTTCATATTAAAATAAACGATCTTCCACTAGTGGGAACGATACAAATATGTTTTAAATCTATTAAGTGTAACTCCGCGTTCTCTATTGTCCCTCGGTATTGATTGTTGTAACATCCAAATTTAGGTTCCAGTCAATCAGTTCAATAAAAATTTGTCACTCAAATATCATTTGTTATTAACGATTCACGTCATACAAACGTTGAGTAAAATGATATCCATCGTAGTGCCTCGTGCATATTTTAACGTATTTTGAAATTTTCCTGCAAACGGCGATTTTTCATTTCACAAAATTATTTCCTAGGCCAAAGTTGCCTCTGAAGCACAGTCAATACACCCTATAGAAAAATAGTTTCTAAAAATATCAGACATTGTTCAAATTTGCAAAAATTATAGGAACTCTCCTCAAACTTCAATAAACCCTAAAGTGCTAATAATAATGCTGTTTATTAATTGAAAAAGTTGTTTAGAAGTTATAAGCCCTAAATTTCAAATTGATAAACCCTAAAAGCCGTTACTGAACACAAAATTTTCAATAAAATTCAAAGGACAATGTGTTTGAAAATGTTACACGATTTCAGTAGGGTATCTTTAGAAAAAAGGGACATTATTAGATGAAAACCTATTGAGAAACGTATTATCTCGAAACCCGAAAAAATTTTGTAGACGTTGTTGTTTTTAGGTTGAAGGCGCAAGCTTAATTTAGTTTTCAACTAAAATTTGACTTAGTCTAGAGTTAGGTGCGAAGGATTTCTAGCATGCGTGTACTTGGTGGAAGTCCGTTTTTCCAATTAAAATAAAATCTCACCTTTGGGCGGGTTGACGTTTATCGCCGCCCTGTACAGCGCCTCCTCGTTGTTCCAGTCCCTGTTCCTCACCACCGTTTTAGCACTGAACGTCAGCAAAACCCCAATAAACCCCACCGTAAACGCCGTGCGATGCTTTCTATAGACAGCGGCCCCTCCGAACCCCAGCATCAAACACAGTCCCGCACTCGGCAGGTACAAGACCCGCTCGGCCACCACGAAGCCCACGTAGAACAGCAGATTGGTGGCCGGGAGAAAGGGCAGCGTCAGAAGCGCCAGCGACAACAGAACGACACTGTAAACCGAAGTCCTCCTCTTGCACCCGCACGTCGTCGCCGTGTTGTTGTTGTTCGTGGTGCGGCAGCTGGCCGAGTGCGCCTCGGCCAGGTCCAGGTGGCAGCAGTGGCACGTGTTCTTCTCGCCGCGGTGCAGCGACGAGACGCACTTCTTCACGGCGACGGCCAGCAGGGCGTAGAAGCACAGGCTGGCGGCGTTGCGGCCGTCCCCGAGGGCGGTCACGCGGGGGACGGCGTCCATGCCCCAGTCGAAGCTGAGGGTGCTGGGCGCCAGGAGCAGCCAGAAGTTGAAGACGGGCAGGTAGAGGAAGGTGAGCAGGCGGGCGAGGAGGCGCGGGTCGCGGGCGGTGGGGTTGTCGGCGGTGGAGAAGTGGGGGACGGGGGACTGCAGCCGGATGGCTAGGAGGATGACGGAAGCGGCGCCCAGGACGAACATGCTGCGCCATTGTTTCTGGAACGAAAACAGGAGGAATTATTTTGGTGATTGATCGCTACCTGACGGGGCAACCCATGTCTAAGGGAAGACAACCAAATTGACATTCCGAGGCACGGAGGATCCGGGATGGAGCGTCTATTTTTCATGCAGCCTGGTCACGGCACCACTGTTTATTAATAAAATGGTGTGTGTTTGAAGAGCGGCGTTATAAATTTATTAAAGACACGAAACTGATCAATGTTTTATACATGCACATTGTCGGAAGTAGTCACACTTTACGTGGACCAAGTTGTACTAGAACAATGAAGATTTTAATTATAAATTGCGAAACGTCATGGTTCTATTACAGTTTTATGTACTGTGATATTTACGAAAGTTTTCAACATTCGTTTTTGGATTATTGATTTCTGTTTAACATTTAGAGCTTCCCTGGACCCTTCCGCAAACACTTAAATTTTTAAAACCAAATATTACTGATAGAATACCTCGTGAATGTCAAATGTCAACGAAGTGTTAATCACGTTCATTTTCAATGAATATCCTTAAAATTATTAAACACTTATTGCAACTGCACATGGTGTTTATTTTTTGAGAAATTCCCTGAGAAATTAAACTCCATGTGTTGCTTATGTAGAAGTTTCCTCGTGGCATTACAGATCTAGGACATTCCGTTTTCGACGAAATTACCGATGAACCGATGACCCGTTGACAACCGCGCCACGCCACCATAACAAACAAGGAGATTGACAGTTGTCGTGCATCAGGAATATAAATAAGTGAAAGAAACCGCAGCAGGAAAAGAAAATTGTACGCCAACACCTGAGTACTTTCGTCACCCTCACCGCCATCCAGCAAGTACCATGTGCTATTTTGAGAGAGCACTGCAGCGTTTCTTTCTGCTCGAGCGCGCGTTTCAGCATCGCTGCCTACCCACGGACCGAAGCAGTACCGTCCAGTGAGGAATCTCTACCAAGGAGGCTATCGCATAACTTTGATTTTTGAATTTTTAGTGGAAATTTTTATTTTATTCGAAGTTAAAATCGTTGTCTTATGAAATTTTTAAATGGGCGGAGCTAGTACCTGCCAAGATAAGACTGATTTTGGAAAATAACGTATCATCTAAGAAAATAGAGGGCGGGCGGACGAACCTAGTATCTGCTAAGATAAGATTGATGTTGGCAAATAACGTATTCAATAAGAAAATAGAGGGCGGGTGGGTGGGGCAAATACCTGCTAAGATAAAACTGATTTTGGCAAACGACGTAGCTTTTAAAAAAATTGAAGTGCTCCATGTGAAAAACAAAGAAAAGTGACAATTTGCAAATTTAATCAACCTATTAACAGTAAAGTAAAAATGGTAATGTATTGAGTTCACTGATTACATCAAAAAATAACTATATTGCGAAGATAGGAAGCAATTTAGTGTTGACGTCGCCGCCTCCCCAGGGACTGAAGCAGAACCGTCGCGTGAGGAACCGCTACCAGTTGTGGAACTTTTCTTTGAGTTAGTTTTTTTTTTTAATCCATTTTATAGCTGGTGGTAGGCAATAAAAACGAATATTTTTAAATTTTAACCGGAATGTTCTTTCTATTCCTTAAGCGCTCATGAAACACTATAATACTAGAAGTTACATGCGTTCTCTTCGTCGAGAATGCGGGCGCCCGAGCAACAGCCCCCGTTCTAACGTACGTCACAACCACCCCCAAGATATTGGCGAAACCCGTAGCGCCTTCGACCACATTCGAGTTTCATGGCAGTATGTTACGATGAAATGTCCCTTAAGGAATAGACACCTATTACACCTACATGTGATTTCAAATCCAATTAAAAAAATGTAGATAAAAAACGAATGATATCTATCCTAAAGAGCCCAGAATCAAAGGTCACACCGGGTTTTCGCGTATTTCTAATCTTGCGAGCTGGTTCAAGTTTGATGAATATCGGATCCATACGTCTTCTGGCCCACTTTTGTGACGTATATTGCAGAGAGCACATTAAAATTTCCTTTTGTAGCGAATGAGCCCGTTTGCCTGCTTTCCATTGATCTGTATGCGATTCAGACCGGACTTCCCACCTCTTATCTGCATGGCTCCAGTGGACGTGTAGTCGCAATATATCTCTGGATGTGTTTCTGGTGTAAGCCAGCCGCCTGTCCCTGTCTGCTTCATGAAGTGTGGCGTGCATTTTGTCGAGATTATTGTTGTTGCGCGCGTTTTAAAGCGTGATAACTGTCTTTTTAACTGTTTTCAGTTGGAAACGGTTTCCATAAATTTTCTTTTTTGAAAGTCGTTGCGTAACATCACATGAATGGAATATACTTTTCATTCGTATTTTTACATGTACATGTTGAACATAATTCATGCCGAGATAGGATCTTTTATACGGGAAACTGTACCGCTGGCACTAGCGTGTAAATAACTGGCGATAATAACCGGTTGCAGATGGTTTAATGATGAATAACCTGTAGTCTACACAAGATTTTGTCAAAAGCTGTTAGCGTAGTGTTTCGGATCGAGATAAGCCCCTGTTAGTAAAATTCCCGGCGAAAACTCGCTCAGTAGCGTTCTACTTTAAGCGGCCCAATTTTCTCGCAGCGTTCAAACAGATATACTTTCTCAGTTAGCAACAATTAAACTCCAATTATTAACATCAGCGTTTTCACCGTTCACCAGCGCCGCTATCGCCCGCCCTCTGCAGTATCCGTGTTTGATCAGCGTCAGACAATTGGGGCAAATGTGGCTCGAACGGTTCCGAAATTTAATTTTAATTTCAAATGGAGCGTCAATGATAAACGGAAGCATCGAATTTCAATTGAAAATTAGAGTCACATTTGGGGGACAGGGGAGCTTCTCGTCGGCCGCAAAGTGGCTGCATCGTTATCAATCTCCCGGAGCCGTAGGGGGTGAGTGAGGGTGGCGCGGCTCAGCAGTCAGCACAAGTTAGACCCGTATCCGTCTCCGGTTCTTCGCGCCATTACATTACACGAATAGCGCCAATAAATCCCGGAGGCAGCGTCGGCCGGTCTGATAAACATGTAAATACGGTGGCGGTGTCGGCCATTGTAGACTGCTATTCCTCAACGTCTTCATACGTACGACCTGGGGTCGAATTAACACTTGCCGCACTGGCAAAAAAATTACCCTCCGCGACATTACTATGCGGACGAGTTGGGGCAAATTGGCACATTACAGTCGCCACCGCGGCAGAGTTGTTCGCCGGAAATAAGATATGCGGCAGACCGATGTTCCTCAACCTCGGCGCATTTTTACGACGAACTGGGGTCCAAATTAACACCTTTTAGGCATCACAAGGAAAAAATTTACGACAAGTAGCGTGTGTTACACCGCGTACTATTCCTCAAATTGGCGTGGCTACGGCTTACCGTGGATAAAGTGTGGTTTGGTGCAAAATTGGCACATTACGGACGCCACCAAAACAGCAAAGCGAAAGCTAGACTTCTATTATTATTATTAAAGGTCGTCGGGTATGTTGTGGAATCTTTTTCTTGAAACCTGGGCGCGTTTTCTGTTGCCAACACCACGCAAAAAATGTTTGCTGGAGATTACCGCGTAGGTGGTTCGTTTTCTGGCCAAACATCCACGAGGAGCTCTTTTTGTTTTAGATTTCCGCGTAAATCTAGCGCTCCGCTCCGTAATGAATAAATCTCTCCGCAGCGCCTCCACAATTTTCTCTCCTCTTTACGTGCCTGCGTCCGATTTCGCCCTATTTGTTTCGTTTTTTCGTGGATTTCGTATGTTTACATTCGATACACCGCCACTGATCCCGACAAATTGTTCAGTCAACACCGCGTCGGCAAATATCTATGGACTGTCTTCCCCTGAAAGAAGACGTATTGAACGACCGAAATAAAGTAAGAAAAGCAATTTGAGCGGTCCGGGCCTCAGTTTCGAATTGATTCTGGTGTCGTTCGGGAGGCGGGGAGGTGAAAATCTAAATGACCTCGTATATTTGGCCGATCCGCGTTAGATCGATCCGATCCGTTCGATCGTGTTCGACAGAGTCGGTTCGAATTTACTTCAACGATATCAGATAAGCGCCACGCCAGACCGTTATGTAGGTAAAGTATACACGATAGACGCGTGCCCGGAGTCGCTTCGATCGTGTTAATGTGTCGGCGCGATGGTATCGCGCCACCTTAACCGGAATTGATTCCGCATGTTGACCCATAGAGAGTTAATATCGGACGGTCGAACTCCGGAACGATAACGCCGAAAATCGAATCCCCCACACCACGGCCGAAATGAATTATCTGCGGCAGGGAGGGCGATTAAGGCAAAAATTGGGCCCACTAACGACAAAACAAACCGGAATATCGGGGCTGAAAGTTGTGCCAAGCCACCGGAAATTTAGCCGGGTTAGCAGGCATAAATTCATCACGGGAGCATCACTTCTTGACGTAGCTTAACACTCCAATGAGTACAGTCGTAATTACTGGATCATAAAGCGTCCATTGGTGTCGAGATGTGAATGGAAATAGTTTTTCATGGATAATCAGGCGCTGAGCCATTAGAAGTAACGATTTCGCCGGGAAATGACCATAGTTTGGACGAGCGACAAATCAGCGAGGCAAAAGTGATTCGGGGGCCTTGGAAAGTTTCGTCCTTTCTACTTTTTATTCCTGGCCGTAATAGTCGTGATTTGTGGCTGGTACCGTCCCCGCGAATTCTCCGCATACCTCGGCCGTTTCACTTTCCGTGTTTTGTATTTGCGGCTGAAAGGCCCAAGACTTGCCATTGCCGGTCGAATGAAAGCGGATTTATTAGGCAGCGCGTCGTATGAAAAATTCCGGTGCTCATCCTCTTAGGCCGGTCGGCGGCGATTTTCCCTTTGTTGTGTGCACGTTCGTTTCTCGTCGAACGTCCCATTTCCATTAGGGCCTTAACGAAGTCGGATGGCCGGGCTGTTTTTAGTGTCGGTTGCGGGTGTGCGTCCGCATTTGCAACGCCATATATCTGGTGCGAAGTTTTCCAATCTTGGGAAAGCAGACGACCGGACGACAAGAAGAGATAGCGGCTGGGACGTGACACATTAACACGTTCCGCGAGAGAAGAGCGTCCCTGGTGGGTTTATTGCGAGTCGTTCCCATCGAAGAGCGAGGATCAATGGCCGTTCCGTGAGCGAAATGGTTAAAAATTTAATACCCCGGCTCCGTGCACTTCGACAAATTATCGCCAGAACCGACTTCACTACACAAATCTGAGTTATTATGAAGATTAGTAAGTTGGAGCGAGTTACCCGAAGAAAATCAATTCATTTTCGCCACTCTAAACTCCAAGGTAAAGCACTTCAACTTCGATACGTAAAGCCAATCAATTCGCTGGGGATTTTCCAACTTTACGAACGGAGCGCACTTCTATGGAGGTAGATAAAAAAGTGGAGCGCGACGGAATTGCTTTATCATAGATTAAAATTTATCGCCTTTAATACGGTGCTTAAGGATAAAGCTGCTCCAGGACTAACTATCGCATTACCACTATCGCTAGTGCACTAGACTAGCGGGGTCTGGGGGCTCAAAATTCGATCAGCGCGCTATATGCAGAACATTGAAGCGATCTAGCAGAACCCACAGTCGAAAAGTTTCCATTCTAAACATTACTACACGTACGACTCGAAATAAACCGGCACATTACAGTCGCCACCGACGGTAAAAGATATTTACTGGAAATAAGATACGTTGTAGATCGGCGTTCCTCAATCCCCAACGCTTTTTTACGACGGCCTGGGGTCGAATTAACACTTTTCAACCACCACACAAAAAAAATTTACGAAGATCTGTACGTTACACTATGTAGACTTTCTCAAGTTATTATGGAAACTGCCTGGAGCAGGTCTGGCACATTACAGTCGCCACCGACGGTATGCTATACTCTTTTCCTTAATCCGCAGCGCCTTTATACGACGACCTGAGGCCGAAATTAATAATGGGCTAAACTTAAGCACGTAGTTCCCGCGTTTACAGAATTAACAATCCACTAAACTTGCTCATGTAGGCTCCTCGCAAAACTAATTTTTACCTAAAATAAAGTTTACTGTACCGTAAACAATTCCTCCATATTGTTAGACACGACCTGGTAAAATTTCAGTCGAGGACACAACGAACAACTAAAACATGGTGGTTTTATCATTCAAGCTCAGATAAGACAACGTCTACATTTTGTCAGTCTAACTGTAATTCCCTAGTAAATAACTTTTTAGAGTTTAAATTACTGGACACTGCTGCACGCGTGTTTCGGACACAGTACTGTCTTCAACCAGAATGTATAAGTATATCGACGACTACCAAACGACTGGAAATACATTAAACCGAATTTAGGTCAGCAATTTATTACCTTTGTGTCCTCTGGGAACCCATTAAATTAGTGGCTTTTTTGTTGCCCTCTAATTAATTGTCTTGTCGTCATTTTTCAACTTTTTTATTCAATTAATTCGGTTCATCACATGGGTGAATACCCAATTACATCAATGAATTGAACTCTTTTACCGTAGTGCGAAGATAAAAGGGTACTAATTACTATTCAACAAACACAAACACCAACCTTTTTCAGCGTCGGGCTGTAGATGCAGTCATACACCACACACATCCCCAGCACCGTAATCCCCGTCTCCTTGCTCAGCATGGCAGCCAACGCCAAAACCACGCACAACCCCAAGTACATCCACTGCTTCACGCTGTTCCCCCAACAACACGTCTCCTTCTCCTCCTTGGCGTTCATCCGGAAGACCACCCCCCGACATTCACTGTGGACCACCTCCCGTCCCAGCCTCTTCGGCCAATTGCAACTCGTCACATTCTTCTGAAGACTATACACGAACTTCTGGTACTTCAAGGCCCTTAGTTGCTTCATATTGTCCTCCTTACTGGTAGTCTTGTACGAGTAACACCGATAGCAGCAGGGCGAGTCTCTGTGTTTCGTATGCGTAACGTAGGCCAGAAACGAGAGCAAGTAGAAGTTGCAGGCCGCCAGGTCGGCTCTGCCCACCACGCCTGCCACCGCCTCGGTGTGGATGGGGTGGGCGGCGAAAAGGAGGCCGGTGATGGCTGGCCCCACTGAAGACTTGGATTTCGGAAGAACTTGACGCGCGAGCTTGACTAAGAGAACTGTGGCTAAGCAGTGGAGGAGGACGTTGACGAGGTGGTAGCCCCAGGGCTGGAAGCCGCCGAGAAGGTAGTTGAGGCGGAAGGTGAGCACGCAGAGCGGCCGATAGGAGCCGTGGGAGCCGCTGTCGTTGAGGGGGGTTCCCCAGAAGTCGTTCTCGAGCAAGCGAGTCCATGGAGTCTTCGGCAGGAGGTCGGGGTTGCTCAGGATGGCGCGGCTGCAACAAAAATGGAAATTAAAATTTGAATTTTATTGCATGAAACTTTGATTCAATCGAAACAAATCGATGCTGTGACATTCATGATGCGATAACTGGAAATGTAAAAACGAAATTTTTTAAACTGTACAACGAGACATTAACATCAGTTTGAATAAATTAACCTTCGGCAAACCAAACGAAGCTCTGGTTTGTAATATAAAGCGTCGATTTCAATAATAAATGTTTGTTTAAAATTAGCAGGTATCCATAACAAAGGAAAATAAACAAATTGTTACTCCATTATTGCAAATTAATTTAGGGTTCTGAGAATGGTCAGAAGCATGTTGTTTTGTTTTGAAATCAACTAATTGCTTTTTGATTTGCTTACTTATGTTTCAGTGTAACGCTTACGTCAATCATTTTTTTTTTAAATCAACCTGTAAAATTAATTTTAAAAATATCAATGGACGATAAATCACAAGTATAGACTAAGAATATTTTATATATTTGAAAAACAATTTATTCAGAAAATAACCACATATTATGTCATATATCATACATATCATGTTAACATATCAGATTTTTTTTTAAAGAATGAGTAGTTAAGTAGTAGGGGTCCTGGTTCATTCTCAAAGAAAATTAACATACGAAATCGTCAAAATTTCAGAAAAATTTAGAACGTTTTCAGGAGTGGGTGACATGACAATTTAAATAGAATTTACCTTGCAAAATTTTGAGGTAACGACATCAATATGCGACAAATTTTGATAACCGTTTAACTATTTATCAAACATTCTAGTAGTGTCGGACATTATCTGTGTAGTAAAATTGCCAACAGACCACAGACGACAGACAGAAGGAAACGGAAGACCTATTTTTCATACTCTATGGGTTATGAAACGTCGAGAAAACTTGAAATTGTTTGTACCGCTAAAAATCTGATTGGATGCGGTTGGAGGAAACTAACTCAGAGAAGATGTATGTTGCATTAGACCCTTGACGATAGCCTAAGTCCTAGAATGTTATTTCAACATTAAAAAAATTGGTCTAAAGAGTTTAGACAGTACTTCCCTCGCTGTCGGAAACTTGACGACTGCATGCCTATTGTGTTTTTTTTCTCATTACATTTTTGTAGTGGGAATTTAAAAAAAAATTGTGATGACGTCATCAACATTTTTGCAAGGACACGTATATCAGTTGGGATAGATGTAGTGTAATACTAAGAATAAAATTATTGTATTCCCAAATTTTCGGGAAAATGAATTGGGTCATTTTGAATATTGATTTCTTATAATCAATAAAATAACGAAACAATTTACTCAGGTATACGGCGCCTTTTTTTGAACCACCTCTTAAGAAAATCTAAAAAATATGAATGGAATGATATATCACAAGTACAAACTCATCATATTTTTTGCATTTTAGATAGGATTTATTCATCAAAATTTAAGGGTGACGTCATCAATTTTTTTAGGAGGGATGAACAAATACATTTTGAACAAAAGTTTACCATGCTTATAATAACTTTAAAATATTCCCAAGATTTCAAAGCATTCGGTTTTGTAATTCCTGATTAAATCGATAAAATAAATTCACGCCTTCATTAATTTTTTTGAGTCACCCTGCATATGCAAATCCAAAAATATGAATGGAATGATAAATCACAAGTACAGACTCATCATATTTTGTACAATTTAGATACGATTTATTCGGCAAACTTTTGAGCTGACGTCATCAGTTTTTTGTAGAAGATAACCAAATATATTTTGACTAAAAATTTATTATGCTCTTTATAACCTTAAAACATCTGCAAGATTTCAAAGCATTTGGTTTTGTAGTTCCTGATTAAATCAATAAAATAAATTTACGCATTCATTAATTTTTTTGAGTCACCCTGTATATGCAAATCGAAAAAATTTGAATGGAATGATAAATCACAAGAAGAGACTCACCATATTTTGTACATTTTAGATAGGATTTATTCAGCAAAATTTTGTGGTGACGTCATAAATTTTTTAGGGGGGACGACCAAATACATTTTGATCAAAAATTTACCATGCTTATGATAATTTTAAAATATCTTCAAGATTTCGAAGCATTCGGTTTTGTAGTTCCTGAGTAAATCAGTAAAATAAATTTACGCTTTCATTTATTTTCTTGAATCACCCTGTACATATATGCAAATCCAAAAAATATGAATGGAGTGATAGATCACAAGTACAGACTGATCATATTTTGTACATTTTAGATATGATTTATTCGGCAAATTTTCGAGCTGACGTCATCAAGTTTTTGGAGGGGAGAAGCAAATATATTTTGACTAAACATTTATTATGCTCTTTATAACCTTAAAATATCTGCAAGATGTCAGAGCATTCCGTTTTGTAGTTCCTGATTAAATCAATAAAATATATTTACGCATTCATTAATTTTTTTGAGTCACCCTGTATATGCAAATCCAAAAAATATGAATGGAGTGATAGATCACAAGTACAGACTCATCATATTTTGTACATTTTAGATATGATTTATTCCACAAACTTTTGAGCTGACGTCATCAAGTTTTTGGAGGGGATAAGCAAATATTGTTTGACTAAATAGTATATTATTAGCCAAGGTTGCAGAGCCAAGCATTCTAGACCGAGCGCAAATTAGAACCCGAGACGCGCAGCGTCAAGGGCTCTGAGTGCGAGGTCTAGAAGTGGCTTTGCAACCGTGGTTAATATACTATTTTTTTCACTAGTAGAAACCATAAGACAATAAACTGAAAAATAAACGTTCAATTTTTTGACACAACATGATTTTGTTTTGATTTCTAATCAAACTTAATCTAAATCTTCAACACAAAGAAAACCGTTTATATTTGTCGCTGAGTTAATCATTTTATCTTGTACCATCTACCAACTACCATGCGTATACTCAAGTAATGTTTGTAGCACACATTTGTTCATTTTTTAAGAAATAATCACATCAAATATTGCGTACATAACCTCAATTTTTCTTTTTGAACCGGTGGTAGCAAAAGTTGAATTTGCTACCACTAAATGAGTCGACATTTGCATGCGTCCAGGCTGCTAGTGAAAAAAATTTATTATGCTCTTTATAGCCTTAAAACATCTGCAACATTTCAAAGCATTCTGGTTAGCAGATTAAAAATTAAATTTCAAAATGTTGTTTTATAATTTTGATTTTTTTTCCAAAAATCTGGACGTTTCGGGTGAAAAGTCGATTCAGAGTTGTAAACTACATGTGTAGGACTATGTTATTTTATACAATTGAAAACCCATTTACTATGTACAATTTTGAAGTGACGTCATCACATTAGTGGTGAGGATGATTAGACAAATTTTGGTTAGCGTTTTACCATCTACATGATATTCTTAATATAAGTACAAAATTTCACAACAATCGGTCGAGTACTTTCGAAGATTATCTGTCTAATAAAAATCCGGGACGGCAGACGGACGGACAGACGGACGGACAGACGGACAGACGGACAGACGGACAGACGGACAGACGGACAGACGGACAGACAGACGGAAATGGGAGACCTATTTCTTCGTCTTCTAGGGGTCATGAAAGATCGAGAAAACGTAAAAGTAGAGAGTCGACCGACGGACTAGATTACAATACTTCCTTTGCTTACGCTCGGGATGTAAAAATATTTTTTATATGGTTTTAGTTGAAAAATATAAAACGAAAAGTGTGGGGAGGTCATTAAGTAACCCCTGGGTACTTCTTGGTCACTTATCTGTTGCGTGTTTTACGGGCGAGCAGCGGGTATACAGTGAATCACTTACGCGTAATCGGAGCTAATATTTTATCTAAGAAAATAGCCAGAGTAATCGTTATTCGATAAATTAATATGTACATCACGTGCGGGCGAAATTAATCGTCCAGACATAAAATTTCCATTTTATTTGTCCGTTTGATGGGAAAAATCCATTTAGTAAACGTTTTAGGTGGTGAAGAAGCAATTAAATTAGGTATCCCTTCCCTGAAACCTGAACCATTATCCATTACGACGATTCTTGCTTAGATAAGCCCGATATTTATCGAAATGTGAAAGCTTTTACGCTTGTTTTTCTTACCAATTCTCCCCCTCTTAATTTTCTCGAGGAAATTATCGAATGGAAATCGATCATTTTTAAACCACCGAGTACAGTGTTTTCGGCCAGCATCAACTTTTTAATCTTCCATTAATATTCCATACATTTTAATGGTTACAAATGGTATATTTTCCCGCACTTCCAACTTTTTGTACACTAAATGTAGGAATGCTTCGATCAATATATCGTTATTCCAGGTCGTGGGTGTTTACATTGTTAAAATGGGTTATTTCTCTGTCATTGTTTTTAAAAACACAATAAAACTCGTCGTCATTTGCGGACAAACTCTTATATCTTCCGCTTCGGCGTGACGACATAATTCGGTACGCAGGTTGTAGATTAAGTCTTTAAGAAAGTTGAGACAATCACGACACAAATGAAAGAAATTAAAAGAATTTCCATATAAATTGCGCCATCTGACGCGGCCAAACAAAGTCGAGTTAGTTTGCAATTTTTTTGACGGACGTTCCTCTTAATAAAAAATTCCCTTTCAACCCTCGTCACTTGTAGCTTCTTGGTCGATCTCGCCATGATGACACCGAGGTCGTTCGGACGTTGTTTTCGACATGCACAACCTGCACGTAACATCGATACGAACAACAGTCTGTCATTAATGTCGTGCATGTAATGGTGGTCGTGGCCCATATTTCATTGCATGTCACAATGTAGCTATAACGAATGTCGTTTCAATTAGAACCGGTTAAACGCCGCACATTGATCAACTACCGATTGAATTAAACGTCGACCTTGAGTTTCAGCCAAACTCACATAAAAAGAACAAAGTTTTGCATTTATTGGCGTCGGTGAAAATGTGCCGCATGTGTCTCCTGGGAGCGTTACTAAGAAAACAGTTTTTTGCCGCCTCGCAACGACAGTACACCGCACTATTTGCCAAAAATATTGTTTTAA